CCTTCCCGGTCGGCTTCCTTCGCCCCGCCCCTTCCGCGACGCCTTGCCCCACCCCTTGGCAACCCGGTTCGCGTCATCCCGCAAGGCGGCGTGGGGACGCTCCACGTGACCTCTAGTGGCCGCGCTGTCAAAGCTTTTGCCTGGAATGTTCCATCGGGCTGAGGTTAGGAGGGGAAGCGCAGGGATCGTGCCAGCGGTTGGAAGGGACTTCCTATCTTCCAGCTCTCCATGGAAGGAATTCCGTGCTGTAGGTATGACTCCCAGCATCCTACCCTTTTTAAATGGGCTTGGATGGAAGTGAGGAGGTGATCAGTATTCACCAATGCCAAAAATAGTTCTTTCTTCACTAAATTTGCAGAGGTTCAAAAGGCCCAGGGAGATTATGCACACTTAAACTTATTTTGAAAGGAACTTTTTGCCTTTTCCCCACTAAGAGTAACACCATCAAAATTATTTTGTGTTTATTCACCTTCCCCTTTTATCTTTTCTCGGTCGCTTTATTATAAGAAAAAAAAAAATCCAAATGTGGGGTCAGATGAGCAGGCACTTAGTAACTGTCAGCGTGAGACAAGACGCACACAGATGAAGCACATAACAGAAAACACAAGAGTGAGTACATGTTAAGTGTTAGGGCACAGTCTCTTAACTGCTACCCGCAGAGCTAAGGATGTCAGAGGCCGTAAGTAGATAAGTGAGACTTCGCTGTAGTGGAAGCAGTATCACTTTGGAATCATGCAGTCTTCATTTGAATCCTGGCACCTCCACTTTGTATATTAAGTTCCTAAAGTTTCTTTTTACGCAAACAAAATGTTAATAGATAATTCCCAGGATTCTAAGGGTATTCTAAGGCTTGCCAAACAGCTACACAGCCTTGCCTCAAATGTTAGTTCCTTTTTCACCCTTGTCACCATCACCCTACACCTCCCATCCTAAATTTAATGGTTAGGATTTAGTAAGGCAAGCTGCACTATAGCCCAAGCCTGAATGTGGGAAGGTCTACACGTGAGAAATGTGAATGACTGGTTGGGAATTTGCATAAACTGCTCAGCTTATGAGGAACTGGTGTGAAGGAAAAAAAACCTTGTGATGGCATGATTGGTGGTACTGTGGAAAAAGAAGAGGATCAGATACTCAAACCTGGCTGAATTTGAAGAAAACAAAAACAACAAAAATCCCTGAAAAAGGGAGAAATTTCCCAATTTTATTTCATGAGATTAATATAACCTGGTACCCAAACCAGAGAAAAGCCATATCAAAACAGGAAATTACCCCATGCTCAATTTTGACTGAAAAGACAAAATTGGAAAAAAATGTTATCAAATGTGGCAATGTGTCAAAAAACAAAAAGAGAAAGTGAGGAATAGCAGAAAGAGAAGAATTCATATCCTGGCCAAGGACACTTTAGTAGCAGAATAATGGCCTCTCATTAGGAAATCACATGTAATTAAAGTTTAAAAAGCCAATAATGTCCTCTGTTCCTGTTTTTGAGATGGCTCTCTTTTAAACCTAGCAGAATGACAAAATTGACCAATCTCAAGTTGGAATCCTCTACACCTTATTTACGTGCTGCTACCCACTGACTTGATGGGAGTTGCAAATACTGTCAAGAAATTTCAGTTCCGCATAGTTGCCACCAACTATGCTATCAAGTATCCTACACATGGCCTGGTGATATTTAAGGTTTATTGACCTTGGCTATGCCAAGATTCTCAGTGGTTTGACACTTAAGACTTTGTATTTCCCCATAATGTGACCTAGCACAATGTAACCACATGCATACCAAATTTCTGCTTTGCACAGTCACTGGGAACTGTTCTGAACAGCCAATCAATTCTAAGATTAGTTGTTAGTTGGTTCCAACACAGCAACCCTGTTTACAACAGAATTAAACACTGCCTGGTCCTGTCTCTACCTCACATTTGTTCTTTTTTAAAAAAATCATTTTATTTGGGGCTTTTACAGCTCTTATAACAACCCATACTTCAATTGTATGATGCACATTTGTACATATGTTGCCATCATTTTCTAAATATTTTCTGTTTGAGCCCTTGGTATTAGCTCCTCTTTTTTCCCTCCTTCCCCCCCCCCACCCTCATGAACTCTTAATAAATAATACATTATTATTTTCATATCTTACACCAATCGTCGTCTCCCTTCACCCACGTTTCTGTTGTTCTTACCCTTTGTGGGGGTTGGTTATACTTTGATCATTGCAGTCGCTTCCCCCTTTTCTCCCTCTTCATTCATT